TTTGTTTTTATTAACATGATGAAGAAAATATATAAATTAAAGGGTGAAGTTTCATTAGAGTATGGTGCATGAACTATATCTCTCTAATTTAACATTGTGTGGATATAAAGAAGGTTTGTAGGGATATACCATGTCATTTTAAGCACTATATTACTTGATTAAAACATCTACCCAAGGGCATGAACACCTTAGTCAAGTCGGATGCTTCCAAATCAACTGTAGGGTGAATATGTGATCTACCAAAAGAGATTATAACTGTAAATGTGGGAAAGAAGTATGGTGTGAAGATGGATATATTGATTTCAGTTTATCTACGGTCTTTGAATGAAACCTCTCCATATTTGCAAATTGGGGTATCAATTGATGTTAAAAAAACTCTCACCTTATGGCACCTTATTCTCAATCCATGGAACACATTATTAGGTTATATATCGGTACAAATAACTACCTTTATATTATCTCTCATGTGAAAGAAAATACAGATGACAGTAGGCTTGAGTATGTAAACACTTTGAGAGTACTGGTTAGAGTAGGAATCACATACATACCTATACAAGGATTAAAGGCCTAATAGTAAATTTAAATATGTTGATCATTAGTAAACCATCAAAGAGAAGGTTGTCTGTCATACAAGGAAACCATATATCAGTTACTGATGGTATAAATGGAAAGGAAAAAATGGTGATAATGGAGCTAGAAATCATGCATGATTATGATAAGGAAACTTATTCACTTATATAATAGAAGAAGGAAAGACAAAAACAATCAATATTCAAAATATTGGGTTATGATGGTTAGGGTTCTATCTAGGCCTAGATAAATGAATGTATTAATCAAGGTCCTCCAGCATTCCCAACATAAAAAAACCCATAAGTAACTCATTCACCTCACTGTTAACAACCAAAACCTTATGACGTGAAAAGGAGAGGGAATGATCGTTTTAACTCCCGAAATCTCACACAATGTTATAACCAGAAAACTTAATTACCTAAGTAATCCTCCCTACTTGAATCACAACCAACAAATTGATTGCAAACCAAGGTAACTGGAAAAAAATTGAAGGAATAGAAAAGACGCCATAGCTTAACCGATAAGTCGGTTATGACTCATTGACTCAATAAGGCAGTCTGAAGCCCCATAATTTGAAGAACACTCTCAAAATTAGTAAAACCTAATTTAAAAATAAAACCTTGAAATTTTATTGACCTTGAAAGTTTTGATTATAAGCCTAATGGAGAAACCTTTATATAGGCTTTATAAGACTAATAGGACGAGAAGAAGGATTATGTATTCATTTTCAAAAATAAATACTAGAATTTAATTAAATTTCTATCCCAAATCTAGACTTACCTAAATCTCAAACCCAAAATAATAATAAAATAATCCTAAAGATAAAATTAACATCAAAATATTAATTAAATATTAATAAAATATTTATTAGATAAGTCACCCCTCTTTTCACCATATTTCCCATGTGCCTTTAATCTCTCTTTGGAATTCTAGTTGCTGCAAAAACCTTGAAAAATTGATCAAGTAAATCACATATGGAAAGAGGATCAAAGAGACTTCTTCTCGGCATCAAATTCTTTCCCACACACCTCACTCATGTAGGTAGGTTCTCCCACATGCATGCTATGTTGTGGCATTCTCATACGCGTAACCTGACTCCCATGTGCATGCCTCCCATACGTTCATCCCGCACACTTGCACTTCCAGCGTGGGATAGGCTTTCCTGTGTGCTGTAGCTTATCTCTCACGTCGAAAAAGATCCCGTGGGTGCAAGGCCTCTCTCCTACGTATGCGATTGCTGGTACATGTGCACAAGGAGGTTCATATATGAAGCATATGTTGTCTGCCACTCTCTAAGGCCAATTAGTCTTGTTTGGTTCTTATGTGATATCCCAAGTGCTAATTAAGGCAAATGAGTGTTAGATATAGATTCAGAATAATGAGTGTATGATAAAATCTATGTGGCGGAACAAAATTATTACAAATCTCTTACAAATACATATGAGTTCCAACACATACATTTACTGAGGCAAGAAGTGGCTGCAAAATACAAAATAAAACATAAGGGCCATTTCTTTCACTATGATATTGGACTCATCAGAGTACGAGAACAGTCATACATTCAGACTTGTGGATCCATGGGATCCTCATAGACTTTCAAGGGTAGGTCAGCCTGCGGTTCATCACTTTCTTCCTCATCTGGGGGGCATGAAAAAAGTAAGTTCCATATGCTCAGTGAGGAAAACAATATTAAATTAACATTGTAAAATTTCAAAAGTTAATTATTTTGACTTAAGAGCTTACCATTTAACCTCATCTTTTACCTGTCTCACATTATGAAAAACCATTTATTTGTTAGGAAAATGGTACGTTAATACAGATAACCAACCATACATCATGCCAAATAATAGAGAAAATAAAATAAATCATGAAATGCTCAGATTTTTGTGTCATGCTTCGCAAAGTTGTTACAACTTCTATCTCTGATGATAGATACAAATTTTTAACTACCCAAGTGGAATGACCAGATCAGATACAAATATGGTAATTTGTTCAAGCCCATTTTCGGCTGGCCAAACTATGGTACGATTTATGACCATGGTCATACCACTCATAGTGGCCCTAACAGATATCTATAGTCACGATATTATTTAGCCATGGGTGACCCCTACAGATAGTGTGATACTACTCTCATCAGAGGGTACGCTGTCATCAACTGGGAGTGGTTCTCTTATATTTTTCCAAACCAGATAGGGGAGGGGAAAACAGATACACTGAATGGCAAGGGGAACAGATACCCCTCAGATATAAAAAGCCTAATGAGAAACTTGATGCAATATGCATGTTAATACAGATACACTTCGGACCATATAGGCTTCATTCCACTTTTTTCTTTTTCTTTTCTTTATACTTTTTTACTTTTACCGATTACATATTATATTTATTATATGCAAATTCATCAAATATTTGCAATTCACATAGCATGCTTGAAAATAAGAACAATTTGATTCATCTGAACACAGA